TTGCTACCCTGTAGGCCAGTAGAGAAATCTGTTAATCACAAGAGAAGTGTCGATCTAATTTCCTCCCTCCTATGTTACAGAAGAAGGAGAAACTGAAGTGAGGTACTTATTCTAAAATGAAGAAGTTGGGGGCAAAACAGCAAGGATACTGTTGTTCTGTACCCTGCACATTTTACCTTTAGATACGCTGTTATTTTGCACTGATGCAAATCATTAGCAAGGAGATAAAGAAATTATAGAATTATAGGACATATATTCAGAGAGTGAAATTTTCTGTGAGTTATTTGCTATTTTACTTATAGATAAACACATGATGATAGATGATATATTCACAAATGAAACATAGATGGTCATATAGATCATAGAAATAATACAGACTGACAGAAAGATAAAAAGAAAATGAATGAAAGAAAGAGCTATAGATGATGGATGGTAGACAAAAGATAATGGTAGACAATTGAAAATGACAGATAATGACATACATATATATATAAATATATGAACCGATGTTAGATGATTGATAAGAGATAGAACACATTCATAAAAATGAAATTCATAAAGCAAACCCACTAGTAGACCCTAGTTTATAGTTATCAAATATTCAGTACTCATTGAATTAATTTATTTTAAAGTCTACATGCCCCATCAAATTCCTATGCTCCTGAGATATGCTGTTAAGAGGCAGTAACTGAGGCATATTCTCATTAGACTAAAAATATTTCCCTTGGTGATTTCATAGTTTCCTTCTTTAACTCAGATGAAGTCACTAAGGTTATGTGTGTGTGTGTGTGTGTGTGTGTGTGTGTGTGTGTGTGTGTGTGTAAACATAATATTAATATGTGGTAATTAAAAGTCTATTTTCAGACTCAACAACAATTCTCAAATCTCTGATACTTATCCATAATGACTGCTGTATTTGTTCTTTGAACTCAAAGCATGAGAATAGAGATAAAGAACATCCTTCCTGCTCTTACCATCAAAACCCATATAGCTAACATTTTCTTCGTCTTGAAGAATGCTAAGGCAGTAAATCTTTCAAATTCCTGAATATGATTCTTCTTATCACCTTCTCTTCTGTAACCCCAGCCCAGGAGCCAATAGCTCCCAGAGAAATTGCTTACAGCAATGGGAATAGGTACCATAAATTACAGAGACATAAATCCTCTGAAACTCTAGATGGCAAAATTAAAACCAGTAATACGGTATTTTTTAAGTATATAGGAAAGTCCATTTCTTTTAGAGAATACAACAGTTTACTTTAGGAAGCTATGAGTATTTTTATCTAGCTACAGACAAATGTCTTGGGTGGAGATGCATCACAGCTAATTAAAAATGAAATCCTCAAAGCATAACACATCCATTGCAACCACCACTAGCTGTGGTTACCAGCACTGGACTTGAACAAGAACAGGCCTGTCATCAGTTGACCACTGATTCATAAGACACTCACTGAGCCCTATCATATTCTGCTAAATTATTTTATACTGAGGAAGTTGGTGGGGTGTCGGTCATTGACTTCAGTTGTGTATCCTCCGGTGAGCTGATCAGGCTTCAGTGGCTACTTCCACACCAAGGTCAAACAGATAGTCATGGTTATACTCCTTGGGTCACAAAACAAAGACATGAAGGTGTGATAAGAAATGGTTGAAAGGAGTGGAAAGGAGATAAGAGGAGAGTTGTTGACGAAATAAATCAGAAGGCATTATGCAAAGTGTGAAAGTGACAAAAACAAATTCAATGAAAGTATTTTAAAAGAGTGAGGAAAATGGAAAATGAGGTAAATTTGAAGGCACAATTACATCCAACCCTCCATTTTATGGGTTTAAACAGACACATCCTTGTGAAGTTCTATAATTACGGCTGAAATATGAATTTCCATATACAAGTGCTATAGCACACCCTTAATATTCTATAACTGTAGAAAGGTATCCTCTTAAGAACTGAGATGAATTCAAGTACTCTTTTCATTCCTAATGAATCTTGCCTGCTTTGATTTGTGTGCATCATTTTGGAATTTCACAAACCAGCTGTGAAATTGCTGATTTGTCTACAGTGTGCATTTCTTTGTCAGGAAAGAAAATGTCTCTTTGAAAGAGTCTGCTTGCCATAAAGAGAGGAGATATTTATGTTCCCCCTCCAAACATGCACAGGTCAATTCAAAGGAACAGTAGGGAATATTGTCTCCTGAAATGGTTCTTTCAGGAGCTTTTAGGCTACCTACCAGTGTAGTGGTTGGCACAGGCACCAGGAGAGGGGGTGAATGCTATCTTTGAGAGACAGGCAAAGTTTCCTTCTTAAACACTCTTTACATTCCTGAAAGGAAAATTCCCCTGGCAGCATCTTTGTTTCTTTGAGACAAGACAAATCCATGCCAACAAATGCATTTGATTCTTGCTTTATTTCCCTTTAAATTTCTACAACAATGAATTGGATTTTAGTACTGTTTGTTTTTATTGAGAGAGCAATTAGAAACTCTCTCGGAGTTCTGTTCCTTGGATTTACTACTGGAGAAGCTATACCAAAAGAACCCACTTAGCCGAACTACATAACTGATGGGCTGGCAGCTGCCCATAATGCCAGTGGACCTTTCCCTTCACAGAATTTAACAAGGATCCTTTTGAGAACGCTCCATCCAATATTATGACAATACTATTGAAAAATACTCAAAAGACTGATGCTATTTTTTTTTAAACCAATGAGATTGTTTACAAAGAAGGCATGGTAAATTCCTCTTAAAGCTTACCAAGTAAAACAGTTAATATATGTGGTCCTAACACATTAAGTCTCCTTGGGTCAGCCATATGGTACCCTCAACCACAGATAAAAGCTGCTATTAAAAAACTCCTCAGGGAAACCAAAATTCAATTTGTGGACATAGATTTGATTTTTTTAATTTTTCTTATTAATTACACTTTATTTACTTTGTATCCCCCCGTAAACCCCTCCCCCCTCCTGACCCCACCCTCCCTCCTCCCTTCTTCATGTATGCCCCTCCCCAAGTCCACTGATAGAGGAGGTCCTCCTCTCCCTCCTTCTGATCTTAGTCTATCAGATCTCATAAGGAGTGGCTGCATTGTCATCTTCTGTGGCTTGGTAAGTCTGCTCCCTCCTCAGGAGGAGGTGATCAAAGAGCAGGCCTATCAGATTATGCCAGAAGCAGAAAGACACACACGGTATATACTCATATAGACATGTAATACAGAATAAACCAACTAAAATCTGTACATCTAAAGAAACTAATCAAGAGAGAGGACCCTGACTAAAATGCTCAATCCCCATCTGGGAAGGCAAAGAGGAAGGACATCAGAAGAAGAAGAAAACAGGAAACAAGCTAGATTTGATTTTTAAGGTGAGTAAGAAAGGTGTGAGAATAGAGCTTCAAGAGTTTGAGAAGAAAAAAATGAGTAATAGGAAGTATTTTTCCTATGTGGTGCTGAAATGCATACCTCACACTCACTTCTGATCTAGATAAACAGGTGTACCATACCACCCTTCATGAGAAAAAGACCACCACAGTGATCAGTAAATGACTGCCAAATGACTAAAGAAACAATGGGGGGATACTTTGTAACATGTGGTGGGGAGGTGGGTGTCTTGTATGGATGTTTGTCGATGTGTGTATATACATGTCTGCATGGGAGTGCACGTGTGTACGTAGAAGTCACTGGACAACAGTGACTGTTTTTGACTGTCTTCCTCAGTCACTCCCCACCTTTAAAGTTTATACTTATTTATTCATTGGGGAGGGGAGCATGTGTGTCTTAATATACTTGTGGATATTAGAGAATAAATTGCTGGGTTTTTGTTTTGTTTTTTTTTTTTTCTACAATTTTAGGCCCTAGGGAGCAAATTCAGGTGAACTTGGAAGCATTGTGTTTCCCCCGCTGGGGTATCATGCTGGCTCGTCATCTTCTTAAGTTTTGAGTCACGCTTTTGTCATGGGACCTGACTCATAGCTCAAAGATTAGATAGGCCAGTGGGTAGGGATCTGCCCACATCACACAAACACTACTGTGACCGATCCCACGTTTGGCTTTTCCATGGGTTCTCTTTATCAGAACTCTAGTAAACATTGTACAAATAATTGTGCACAGCAATCATTTTGCTGACAGCCAATTCCCCAGCCTTAGGGGGAAAAACATACGTGTATATGTATATATATTATAGTATTACAGTTTGAAAAAAATTCATCTTTTGTCTATTTCACTAATTATATTTTCAGAAAAATAGCATTTCGTGTACATTTTCCATGAATTCTTACTGTTTTGGCCATGACAAAGAACAGAAAGAATTAGCTGTATTAGCTAGGTACAGATGGTTCTTATTTAGATATGTAATGTGTAGGTCAAATGATCTAGGTAATACATTTCTTTTTAATTTGAGAAGTAAGATATATAAAATTCATTATTATTATTATTATTATTATTATTATTATTATTATTACTGCTGTTAATTCTTCCATAAGACATGGTTTTTAACTAGATCCATGGCCACAGGAATAAAGAACACAGTTTTCAATATTTGCAGCAAATTTGGTTATTTTGCTGCTGAAGATAAAATTTTAACACCTGGCAGTCAAGGTACCTATGTTGTATTAATGCAAAGCCTTGATCCTGGACATCACAAAATGCTATAACCGCTGTGGGCTGAATACTTCACCCTTTTAATGGAAGAAACTGTAGTTTCCATTTTCATGGACTTTCTCTGGTACACACAGGTAACCTCAACTACTACAATGTTTAAAAACTTCTACTATTTGAAGTCGTTTTGGAAATAACGGGATCCATACAAGGTAGAGAAGCAAAAAGAAATATAGGCATTAAAAAATGGAATAAAATAGATGAAAAAGAAGAAATACAGGCAAAGTAAAATAAACATGGAATGTCTAATATACTTCTTGTCTGTCTTTCTCATTCATGAACCTCAACAACCACGTTTCTTATGTTAAATACAACAGTATCATGTGGCTTAGAAGATGAGATCAAGGTGGTACAACCTACCTTTCTTTTTTTATTTTCAATCAGAACCTATGTGGATTGCTTCCTTCAGCTCAGTCTGAAGAGTCAGATTCTCTTACACCAAGATGCAGGTATTTCCAAGTGAGCTCTACCCAAATTTCACCGTAGAGAAAAGTCTACAACACAAAATGAATCTGAAAAAAAAAAAGAAAGAAAGAAAGATATTTTAGTTGATAACACAATATTGAAAAGAAAACAGAATGTTATGTTAAAAAGTTGTTCCTTTTGAGAAATATTATTTTTTATACTCTAATCTGAGTTTTCAATACACGGAAACTGGTGTAGAGAAAGAGCTGGAAATACATTTGTGATTCCACATTAAAGGCGAAGAAGAAACATGCAGGGGATAAAGTGTAAACTCTGAATCTGGCTCTGGACAAAAGGAGCATTTTTTTCCAGCTGTAGGAAAACCGGGTAATAAGTACAGACAATGAGATTTGTGAGGCATGCTACAAATGGCACCAAAGATGGGAGAGAGGAAATAAACTGAAAATGACAGCAACTTTGGGACTTATTGGACAAAAATAAAATCACTTCCAACGTGTGTCCTGCACATTCTGATCCTCAGGCAGATTTATCTGATCACTTCCGACAGTAATACAAATGGAAGATGTCCATCCGTTCTCAAAGTACACCATTCTGTCAGAAAATTAAACAGCCGGCTTCTATATCAGTGGGAGATACCCCACTGAACTGAGGGAGCAATGAAGCAAGCCTGTCTGGCACTATTTCCTCTAGTCTATATAAATCCCAAACTGTTTCAAAGTGCAACTCCATAGCCTGGAATAGTTGGTACTCAGGCCTCTACCCCAGATAGAGGAAGCAAATCAAATTTAAATAAAATTACAAAACTTCATGCCTACAACCTCTGTGTTCAATGCCTTGCCACTAAATATTATACATTGTGCTTTTTTTTTTTCCATTTTTATGTGTGTGGGCAAGGGTGTGGTATGCTATGAATGTGTTTGTATGAACGCTTTCATGTGGACGGACACATGTGTGTGTGTGTGTGTGTGTGTGTGTGTGTGTGTGTGTGCATGCTGTTCACGAGAAGGACTGAGGTTGAAGTCAGGGATTAAACTTGGTCACTCTTCTGCTTTCTTCATTGAGACAGAATCTCTCAATATAAGCTGTAACTCACCAATACTGCTCTTCTCTTTAGTGAGCCTGTTCTGGGATTTCTGGGTCACCATACATTTATGTGAGTTCTTGGGTTTTGAACCCCAGTCCTCACCTTTGTGCAGCAAACACTTAACTGCTAAACCCTCAGCACAGCCCCATCACATGTTGTCTTTAAAACCAAGCATGGTAGTGCATGGCAGTCATCTCAGCATGAAGGAGGCAAATACCGTATGATAACTACAAGGTCAAGGACAGCCTGGTCTACATAGTAAGTCCTGTTTCAAGAAACAAGAAAAACTATGCTGTGCCATTTTAAATAGAAATGTCACCTGACCTGACAAAACCAGCAATAATAATAGTAATAGTAATAATAATAATTTCTCTGGAAGCCCTGCTTGCAGCTGGACAAGCCAGGAAACTATATCTGCTCTCCTTCCCTCAACCCAACCACATGCAGAAAACTTCAGGCTAATACTTCATCACCCCTAGTCTCTGCCTTCCAAGAAACCCACCCAAGAGTTCCTACCTACCCAGGGGCTCAATTTTTGGCCATATATGGGCACAATCCCAGGTCCTAGCCAACATGTCATTACTCAACTAAGCTCTATAACATCCCCTTGCTTTAGTCTGGGCATGTGACTTCACTGACCTCCACCTGTGTGATCACAGAACATACCTGAGAGCTGCCTCTCAATTAAACTGCCCTTTATTCTCGATTTGGCCTGAAATGGCTTGGTATAGTAGCAGCAATGCATGCATTGCATCAAGACAGAAACGTTACCTAGAATTTGTTTTTTGGGTTTTTTTTTTTTTGTTTGTTTTTTGTTTTTTTTACTAAGTATGTACTAGGAAAACCCACACAGATTCCTTTAATACTAAATAGGCTTACTTTGACCTTAGGTCATCAAAACAAATACTGCACAAATGCTCTAACTGTGAGCAATCATTCTGAGACAGAACGGAGTACAATGTATCACTAAAAATGACAAAGGGTTGTATATGGAAGGGTTTGAAATGAAAACTTAAGGTCTGTAATGGGAAGGCCTGTATCGGGCAACGTTATAAATTATGCTTGCTTGTTAATGCAAAAGCAACAGTATCGTAGCAAAAAAATCCACCCGAGGGAACACTCTCAAATCTTTAGCAGGGGCTGACCAAGTCTTCAGTTTCTGTGCAGCTTTCGCTTGCACTGCTAGAGGCATTTTCAAGAGTTATTTTATTTTGTAGTTGGTTTTATTGAGAGTGTCAATGTACTACTGGAATACCAACATGTAGTTCAGGATACTCCAGTTTTATGTGTTAAATTCTGAAAACTCCTGATTTCATTATATTTTTGCTATGCTCTGCTTTTCTCTGTTTCCTGCTATTTTCTTAAACAAACAAACAAACTTTGTACACGTTTACACTCCTACCAGCAATGGAGGAGGATTCCCCATTCTCCACATCCTCTAGAGTATGTGTTGTCACTTAAGCTTTTGATCTTAGCATTTCTGATGGAATCTCAGAGTTCTTTTGATTTGCACTAGAAATTAATCTGGCACTTTCTTAAAACAAACAAAAAAAAATTGGAATAGTGCTACCTGAAGATACAGATATGCTACTCCTGGCCATATACCCAGAAGATGCCTCACCATCTTTGGCTCAATTATGTGCATAGCAGCTTTATTTGTAATAGCAAGAATCTATAAATAACTAAGATGTCCCTCACCGGAGGAATGGTTTCAAAATTTATGGTCCATTTACACAGTGGAATACTACTCAGCAATTAAAAACAAGGAAATCATGAAGACTGCAGGCAAATGGTGTGAACTAGAAAATATCAACCTGAGTGAGGTATCCTGTTGGGAACAAAGCCCTGGGACCCTTCCTAAGGGCCTGACCTGCCAGATAAGCACCGGGCGCCAGCCGGCCATAGCTTCTTACGACCCATTGTTCCCGAAACTGTTTGCTTTGGGACACATCCGTGACCACCGATGTGACCACCGATGTTATCTTCGGGCCTTGTAACTCTTTAACCCACCTTCTTAGCCTTGGGAACTTCCCACCAAGGGTCTTGGTATTTTTCCACTACTACTTCCCTTTCTCGCCCCTCTCCCCCGCCCTGCCAAAACCACGTTTTAAAAGAAACACCAAAGTTCAATAAAGCTGACACTTGACCGGCAACCGTCTGCTTGTGTCCTTTCTCTCTCTCCCCCATCTTTTTCAGGATTGACCCCCTTCGCCCCCACGAATAACTAAGTTCCGCGGGATGGGACAGTATCCCAGAAGCAGAAAGACACACATGGTATATACTCACTCATAAGTGGATATGGGAAATACAAGTATAGGAAAAACATACTAAAATCTGTCCATCTAAAGAAGCTAAGCAAGAAGGAGAACCCTGGGTGAGATGCTTAATCCTCATTCAGAAAGGCAAATGAGATGGACATCAGAAGAGGGAGAAAACAGGGAACAGGACAGGAGCCTACCACAGAGGGCCTCTGAAAGAATCTACCCAGCAGGATATCAAAGCAGATGTTGAGACTCATGGCCAAACATTGGGCAGAGTGCAGGGAATCTTATGAAAGGTGGAGATGAAAGACCTGGAGGGGACAGAAGATTCATAAAGAGAGCAACAAAACCAAAAATTCTGGCCACAGGTTTTTTTTTTTTTTTTTTTTTTTTTCTGAGACTGATACTCCAACCAAGGACCGTACATAGAGATAACTTAGAACCCCTGCAGAGATGATGTAGTCCACGCAACTCAGTATCCAAGTGGGCACCCTAGTAAGGGAAACCGGGACTGCCTCTAACATGAACTCAGTGGCTGGCTCTTGACCACCTCCCCCTGAGAGATGAGCAGCCTTGCAAGGCCACAGAGGAGGACAATGCAACCAGTCCTGAGCAGACCTGATAAGCTAGGGTCAGATGGAAGGGGAGGAGGACCTCCCTTATCAGTGGACTTGTAGAGGGACATTGGAGAAGATGAGAGAGGGAGGGAATGAGGCTGGGGGCTACAGCTGGGATACAAAATGAACAAACTGTAATTAATATATAAAAATGTAATTAAAATGTTGACAATAAAAGAGATTTAAAAAAAGAAGGAGGGAGGGTAGGATTAGGATGGGACAATGAGGTGCCTTCAGCTGGGATACAAAATGAATAAACTGTAATTAATAAAAAAAAGAAAAGATCATACTGAGTGAGGTAATCTAGAACCAGAAAGACATACCTAGTATATAGTCACTTATAAGCAGATTTTAGCCATATAATATAGGATAAACATAACTAAACTCAACAGACCTAAAGACGCTAAATGCTAAGCAGGACCCTAAGGTGGATGCTTAAATCTCGTTCAGAATGTCAAACAAGATAGTCACCAGAAGACATGGAGGAGAGGAAATAGAATGGGATCCTACTGCAGAGGGTTCTCTGAAAGCTCCACCCAACAGGGGATCAAAGCACATGCTAGACTCATAGCCAAACTTTGGGCAGAGCACAGAGAGTCGTATGAGAGAAGAAGGGGTGGGGATAGAAAGAGGACATGAGGGGACAGGAACTCCACAAGGAGACAAAGTTAAAACCTCTGAGCCCAGGGGGGTTCTGATGCACCAACCAAGGACCATACATGGAGAGGACTTAGATCCCAAGCTCAGATGTACATAATTAACAGCTCAGTCTCCCTGTGAATTCCAGAGTAAGGGGAGCAGGGGCTGTCTCTGTGATGAACTCGGTTGTCTGCTCTTTGATCATTTGCCCCTGGTAATGCGGCCATACCAGGCCACTGAGGAAGAAGATCCAGGCAGTCCTGATGAGACTTAATAAGCTATGGGCAGATGGCAAAAGAGGAGAACTCCCCCTTTCAGTGGACTAGGGGAAGGGGATAAGGGGAAGAGGAAGGCAGGGTGAGATTGGGAGGAGTTGAGGGAGTGGTCTTCAATTGGGATATATAATGCATAAATTGTGAAAAAATAAAATAAAAATAAAAAATAAAAAATGAAAATAAATTGCTTGCTATATACTTAATAAACCC